TTTTCAACGAATCCTTTCGCTTGCTGATCATTACTAAAAATGATCGACAGCCGGTGACTTTTGTCAGGGGAGTGTACATAGAGATCTTCGAAAACCTAATTATCTTCGTGATTCAAAGGGAACTATTTTAATTATTGATTGGGGTTATTGCACAAGGAATAATGAAAACACTGCATTTGCAGGTGCACTTGAATGCATGCCGGATGAAGTTCTGCAATCGTTAGTTAATGAAGAAAATATTGTTTATGGACCAAAAGTTGATTTAGTACGTTTTGTTCGATCATTCTATCTAATGCTACATAGACCATCAATGGAAAGGATTGCCTTTGATAAAGATGACAGCATCAAGAAACGAGCACAAATAATGTTAAATTTTTGGAATGATTGTAGTAAGTCAGATGTGTGGAATAACATTTATCAAGCAATTGAGAACTTGAATTATAACCAATTAATTCAAGAAGTTGAAGAATTTTTTTGAGTTGTTTAGAATAACTTGCGATTGATTAATCACGTAAATATTAGCCAATTAGTATAAGGTAATTAATTTTATCTCATCAACTAAAAATCTATATATTAGATATGATACATAACAATTCTTTGTTTAATATTAGGATCTAATTAAACCGATTTAGCTTAAACAAGAAATTTAAATAGTTATATATATTTATCAATGTATACATTTATCGCTATATGTATAAAATTATGATAAATGTAACCTATTCATCAAACAATAGCATAATTTGCGTAATGCACAATAAATATAAACTACAATCGAAGTAAAACTGACTAAACAAAAAGTTTTACTGTGTTAATACTAAAAACCGAAATTCATCAATTATTTCTTTATATCCATGTTTAAATACAGCTACAAGTATTTGTAATCCAATATTTTACCAAAGTTTTTATTACTTTCAAGTTTTTCTTAACTAATCTACAACACTTTTTTGAACTTTATTACTATATTTATCTGTATATTGCTGTTTTCTAACTTGAAATCTGCCTCTAAATGAAGTACATATGGCAGGATAATTCCAGATACTTTAAAGATTCGCATGCGAATAATGCTATAAGTACATTAAATATATAAATTTGAATGTATAAAATTTATTTATAATGAGGAGTTAGCTATAGTGTGACAATGAAAAAATTTAAATATTCATTTTTGAAATCACCAGGAACGTTGTTTTAATAACTGGGACTGATAACCCAAATTCGCACTTTACGTAGTTCATTACATTGAGCTAAATTTGAATACTAACGTAACAGCCTATTCATGTTGTGACACTAGCTAATTCAACTTAACTATGGCTGCTCTAGCTGGCTTAAAATATCAATATCTGTAATTTATCTATATATCATAACAAAATTATTATTCAAGCGTTGATTCATCTGATGAGTTAAAATCGCTATTTACATGTGCTTCAAATTATAATAATCGTGAATAGTTTGCTCATGTACCAATTGTACTTTGAATAAATCAAAGTTATCATTTATATGAGTTAATAAAATTTATTACTGTTGTTATTTTAAATTGACTAATTTATCTAATCCTAATTAATCACATAAAAATATTTCTAAAAGTTTTATGATTACATAAGTCAAAAAATTATTAGATAGAGCAGATATGTGAAATATAAGTCAAAATAAATATATAAATGAATTAAGAGAAAGATGAAAAAAAGTGAAGTTTGTTTTTTCGATCATCCCAAAGGGATACTTTGCAGAAACCTTTGATTTTGCTAAATATATTTACTATATAATAAGGATATAATTAAAATATAATTAAAATATTTTTATTCTTTTAAGTTACTTTTAACAATCTTTTTATCATATTGTTAAATA